GTCCAGAGCTCATACTTTTTATGACTCTATTATTTATTTACTTATTATTTTAGTCAGCTTTCTCACTGCTGCAACCAAAAGACCTGACAATTTTAGAGAAGGAAAGTTTATTTGGGTCTCATGGTTTTAGAGATCTCATTCCATAGACAGCTGACTCCATTCCTTGGGACCTGAGATAAGATCATGGCAGAAGGATGTGGGGAGGAAAGCAGCTGGGAACATGGCACCAGGAGAGGCAGAGGGAGGTCCCCTCACTACAAACAAAATATAAACCCCAGTGGATTAACACACTGATTAGATTAAGGCCCTCATAACCTATTTCACCCTCTAAACATTTTTTCATTGCTTCACACATAAGCTTTTGGGGGACACTTAATATTTAAACCATAACATTTATTTTTGTGGTATTGGGGATTGAACCCAGGTGTTCTATCACTGAGCTACATCCCCCAGCCCTTTTTATTTTGAGACAGGGTCTCCTTAAGTTGCCAAGGCTGGCCTCAAATTTGCAATCCTCCTGCCTTAGCCTACTGAGTTGCTGGGATTATAGTATGTACTACCATGCCTGGTTTATGACTCTTCRAAATGTTTTTCAATAGCCTATGAAGTTGGAAGGACTACCAAGAGTTGTTTTGTGTTTATCWTGTAGGGTGACTTCAAAAATTAAGCACATACTTCTTCTACCTCCTGCCTTTCCCCCAAACAGCTTTTTTTTTTTTTCTGTAGTACATCATTAGCTTATAACCACAAAGAGCAGAGGTAACTTTATGTATAGCAAAGAATACTAGAATAGAAATRTCAGCTGTCTTTCCTGCCAAAGATGGAATTGTCCTTGGACAGTTCACTTTGCCACCCTGGATTCAATTTCCTTCCTTGTGAAAGGAGAGTTAGCTTGATTGCACTACCAGTTCTCAACACTGGTTTCAAATTAGAATMTTCAGGAAAGTTTTTAAAAACTTTTAATTTTTGTTGCATAGAAAAATAGTGACAACAGAATAAGATCTACAGCCTAGTTAACATATTGTACCAATGTTAATTTCCTGATTTTGATATTGTATTATAGATATTTAGGATGACAGTCATTACTGGAAACGTTTGTTGAAGGGCACCTAAGACTCTTTGTATTGTTTGTGCAACTTCCTATAACTTCAAAATACAGAGTTAATTTTTTTCTCCCTAATGCCCGAATCCCACCTGAGAGATGGTGATCTGTTGGTCTGGGATGATAAATTGGACATCATTGATTGTTAAATCTCTTCTGGTCATTGTAATATGAATCCGTGGTTGAGGACCACTGCAGTAGATGATCTTTAGGTCCCTTTCTAGCAATAAAATATTATCAATCTAATTTATCTAAACCTCTTGCAACCACTTAGATGTTCATCATGTAGGGTGAGACAATAAGTTTATCATATACTGGGCAACAACTTTGTATTTGTCCTAAAGTTAGCTTTTCTTTGAGTGACTCCTTCAGTTTCAACCATCATTCTCCTCTAGCTGTATCAATAAGCTGCTGCTTCTCACTTGATGCCTTTCTCCATGACTGTGACCGTCACCAAGGGCCACTGCTTACCAGCTGCAGTTCACTTCCTGAGAGCCCTCCACCAAGTCCCGAAAGAAGGTACTACCAGCTCCATTTGGGTCTCAGCAGGGAGGGAAGAGGCTCCCTTTAGAGTCTTTGTATTCTGTTGACTTTCTCTCAAAGTTCCATGGTAAACCAGACTTTACTGAACAGTTGGAGTTAAGCAATGAGGATTAAAATGTGAGAGGGGAAAAATTAAAACATAATGCCAAATAAGACTGGGCTTACAGTCCAGGAGAAAAGCAGACCCAACTTAAACCTCTCACAGGGAGCTCACCCGAAGATGCACCTCAATGCTTAGCCAAGCTCCCTCCCCTCAGATGAGTCCTCCTCACATGGAACTTCTTTACMCATCCACAGAGGGACTCAGTACTGGAGCCACTGCAGGGAAAGTGCTGTTTACCCTCTAACTCATCCTTCCTTAAGAGTCACACTTTCCTAGGATTTCAGTAAYACAAGCAAAGCTCTTCTCAAAATCTGAGTTAATCAACCAAAAATTATGCAGTGGGAGAGGAGGGATGTGGCTTCACTAGGATAGTCCCAGGTGAGCTGTGGTACTTTAGGTCCCATCTTGACAGGGTGAGGGGAAGATATCTCCCTTTCCCTCCTGATTCTCCAGGCGACAACCAATGGAACACACACACACACACACACACACACACACACACACACACATCCAACTTGCATATTTTCCCAAAGCCCATTACGAACAAAACTGTTTCCTAAAGTGTGATCTAGGACACATGCAAAGCTGTATTTTAGATGTGTTCATCTTCTAGCCCCTTCATCTTTCCAAAGGCCTCTTGGAGCATAAGGAATGAGGCCAATTAAAGCAGARCCACCAGGCCCTAAATGTCCACCCTCTGTCCACACTAAAATCCAGCCCTGTGCTTTGAGACAGCCTGTTGACCCAATCYTGTTCTTCAGTGGGGCATCATCTCCATACTCTTATCTGTAGGAGGAAGAGAGGCCAGGGGTGTGGGGACRGGCATTTTCCTGAGCAGCTTCACCAGTGGGTCACACAGGGGTTAGTTCTGTAAGCTTTGCTGATTTGTAATGATAGTAGTCCAGGATTGTGTTAATAGAATTCATAATTCCACTGGGCTTTATCTAAATCTTTTTGAACTTTCATCTCTCTAACTAGACATTATTTTTAAAGACATTTTTTTTTTTAAATCAGCTGAAAACCTTCTCTCCTCTACCACTTTGGTCATCCTTATCTATCTACACATTGCTCCCAAATGTTCACCTSCAGGCTTGGTCCAGCTGCCAAGATGTCCCATTCTGGCCACTGCTTAAGGTAACAGTTTTTAAGTGTTCATTGCATTTAGTTTTGTCTCATCTCACCTCTTGACTTCAAGAGTTGACTCTTAAGTTTCCCAGGAGTTTGATAATCAGCCCATACCCATCCGAACAAAATTGTGGCAGATTTATATTTTTAAGATCACCTCCTTTTAAAAAACTGTGATTTGTATTTTGAAGGCATGTGATCAGTTTTACATATGGTAAGCACTTAACATTTTATTTAATTAGTCTAATGGTTCTTATTCATTCATTTAAACTTCCAGTTGTAATTTTATTAGATGCCTCTATGGCATGAGGAACTGGCTACAGATATACATGTGAAATTTAAGGCAAAAGAGCACATTCCAAAAAGTTTATTCTTCCAAGTGTAGTGCATGGGAAGTGTATTGAGGCCTTTGGAAGTTCAGACCATAACATCAGGTAACTTGAGTAAGAGAACTCTTACACTGATTTGTATGTGATGTGACCTTGGGCAACTTATTTCATCTCTCCAAACTTCAGTTTCATCTATAGAAATGAGAACAATAATAATATGTATCTTATGTGATGGGTTGAGGATTACATGAGATAATACCCCAGCACTGGCCTATTGAGAGCATTTAGTATATGTGAGTYATAAGGATTGTGTTAATAGGTCCTTGAAGTGTGGGAAGAAAGAATGAGAAATAAGGGGGCTGGGAAATGATCTCTGTTAGAGCTGCAAGATAATTAATTCAGAAGGCAGAGGATTGAAGCCAGGGAAGAAGAAAAAGAAAAAGGAGAAGAAGGAGGAGGAGGAGAAGGGCATCCAGGAAAGGGCTATATTGGTACCAAACCCTAAACATCCTTGGTTTCTCTGCTCTTTGTCCTTGGAGATAACTGTTGGAGTGGGGTAGGGTGTACTAAGGGCCTTGGTCTGTGTCAATAGGTATTTGTTGACAACAGACCAGTTTCAAGCCATTAAGAATCTAGTTTTATTGGCATGTCAGGAAGGCAGCGATTGTTCTGTTTTCCCGGCAAAGCTATTCCATGAGGCAGGCTGGAACTTGTCCTGTTTGCCTRAGTCTCAGTTAAGTCTCCAGGGAAAGGACAATCAGGTGGCATCATTTGGAAAGCATCTCTGACTCAGGATAGGAAGAAGTCCACTGAGTGACCATGGCAGTGGGTCAGCTTCTCTCCTGCCCCCACATCACAGGACTCTGGCAGCTTTGTGTTTGTCATCTTGATATCCTGGGGACAGACTAGCTCTTCTGGGGAAGACTGACTTAGTTGTGATAGGAACAAGGTTGTATGACAAAGCTGGGGTTTAATGATCCTATAGGCTCCTGAACAGTCTTTTGTAAGGAGTAGCTCAACCACTGGAGAGGAAGGAGCAGGCTTTGCATTCCTTCAGACCCAAGCTTGGGTGCTTACTGGCTGGGTAACTCTGGGCAGGTGACTTAAACTTTCTGAGCCTCAAACTCCCCATTTTGTTATCAATGTTGTTATGAAGACTAAATGAGATAACGTGCCAGAAAACTCAAGACAATTCTGGCTCACAGGAAGGGCGAAAAAATGGTGGCTATGGTGTTAATTGGTGTCAGTTATTATTGCCATGATGCTGAAACTTGGGACATGGAAAATGCCCCTCAAGACTTCACTTCAGGTATTAATCCTGTTCTTTGACTGTCCTCAGTGAACAAGATTTAATAGTAAAGTCTAGCACAGGTAGCTGAAGTAATTCTGGACCTTGAAAGACAGTGGGTTTCTTCAAACAGATTAATTGGAGGAAGTAAATTCTGAAAGTCAGTTTTGAACAACACAGTCAGTCMTATAAATCAATATGCAAACATGAGTCCATGACTTTTTCTGATGCTGCTCTTTGATGAATAGCCCCATTTAGAGGCAGGGCGGATTTTCTCTTTATTACCTTCACAGTGTGTCTAACCTCCATCTCATGCATCTCAGCACACTAAAATAATTTTAAAATCATCAATAAGATGAGACCACTCAAGTTTAGTGATCAATTTCCTAGCCTATTGGATAAAAATCAAGTCAAATTACTGTTGGTAATTTAAAAAATAACCCAGCATATAATAATAATGCAAAATTATTTATTAGTAAAAAAGAGAGAATTTGTTCGTTATACAGAAAAATAAAACAATGGAACATTCCCTACAAAAATGTCAACTGTGAGTTGACAATTTTTTGTACAGCAGGCGTGGTACTATGACCAGGTTTGAGGACTTCATCTTAATACCTATATTAGCATCAGAAAATTGAAAACAGTGACATGTAAACTGTGATATTTTGTTAACAGGTTGCATAAAACAAAGTGTTATCTASATGTGGTAGAAAAAGTAGCTATACCCATGCCATGTTCCAAATTAGTGTCGTTTCTATTAACTATAGCAGATGTCACAGTTTGTTTCCCTCTTATAGAAATCACTGGCAGTGGCTGCCGAGGGTGCGAAGTCCATGCAGTCGGTGCTGGGGTAGAAGTACTCAGCTGTTCTGACTGCCTCCAAGTGCTCCGCCTCACAGGATGCGCAGTAGCAGACGGAGGCTGGGGCTGCAGGGAAGCAGTTGTACTGGGCATGCGAGGGCAAATGATGGTAGGAGTAGTCTTCCTGAGAATGGCCATGGTTTAGGGTGTCCAGATAAGGGGGAGAACTGTAATTATCCGGAGGGTATGAAGGCAGCTGAGCCGGTGAGTAACTGTAGTCTAAGGAGCCAGAGAGAGTGGAGGAATCTGAAGGTGATCCTGAGGTCTAGAGAGTGAAAACCAAGGAGCAAAGAGCTCAGTAACTTAAACAGGATCAAAAGAAGCAAGCACCGTGGATTTATTCACACAGAGTAAGAAAATTAGGGGTAAAATCCCCAAACACAGAACCCAAGTCTGCAGAAGTAATTTTATTTGCTGACTACATATTTTCATGATACCACATTCTGTATTTACCTATTTCTTTCCAACAATAAATTGCCTTRCTTTACTGGCTTCCTTTGTTATTACCATATATTAGAGGATGTTTTGTTCTTAAACCACAAAATCCTATTGTGCTTCGGATCACCTGTATATCGAATCCTGCTGTTTGCCACAATATAAGGGGCAGGTGGCACCTTGGATATTTCTCCACACCCTTGATGGAGAAGAACCAGGTGAACACGGAATCTGCCCAGGGAAAACTTGAATCCAATAGGACCCAGCCTCTGGGCTATTTCCCATCACACAAGTCTTGTTCCCTGAGGAAAAAGGTACACACTTCCTTCTCTTTATGCAAGTCACCAAGAAACTTGAAGGCTTTCTTAGAAGGGCAATAGGTGTTTGGGGCCCAGTATTTTCCCCATGATAATATGCATATTCTGTAGTGTTAATTTCAATTCCTTCTAAAATTTAGTCTGATGCCCATATAGACGTCTGAAAAAAAATCAAAATAAAAAAGTATTCAAATTTCTTCAAAAAGAAAAAGAAACACTTTAATTTTTTAAAAATTATGAGTTTCTAAAATAACTAATATCTATTAATAGAAACCTTACTTCATTTAAAAAGATGACACATTTTCAAACACTTGAGATCTATCTAGAACACAAAATTCAAATTAATTAAAAGATTAGGCTTCATTTTTACTAACCATCTCAGACCCAAATGAATTCCTATGCCTACGGCAGATCCAAATAACCAGTTATTGGAGTCAACTCAGTAACAAAACAACAAAACCCCTTTATCTGAATTAAATTTCATAGTATGTACAAGCAGCCTTAATCCTGTTTTCAAGATCTCAAAAATCCAAGGGCCATTGTTTAAACTACCGATTTCTAAATTAGTAGATGTTTTAACTTCACAATTTAAAAAACATTAAGTATTACCAGGAAACCTTTTTATTGCCACATATCAACTTACTTGGAAAATCATAATTGTGTATCCAAAGGCTTATGCTCTGCAACTGTGACTATCTTTATACATTGAATTTTAAATGATTCCTTGTTTCTGGATGGTTTCCTTGTTGATAGACTTTGTATAATTTCTCAGGAGATGACGCAAACTCTTACAAAGCATCACTACCCCAGAGTTAGCAACAATCAGGTTGTATAAAAAATGAAGATAAATTACCAGGCTCTGGTTAAAGCAGAAAGGGGTRGCCGGGAAGCTGTCTGGGAAATAGTGTGGAGGACTTTGCGTGCAGTTGGGCAACGGCTCTGACAGTGTGTCAGTCTGAAGATAGGAATCAAAGATCTGGTCCAGGCAGCTTGGATTTTCTTCACAAGAAACACAAGTGTTAAATTCTCGGGSTTGAAAATAATTTGGTGTGGAAGACATCGATTCAGGCTCAAAATACAATCCTAGAAGAGAAGGAATTTTTGTTTTTTGTTTGTTTTTTTTTTTGCAAAATTGCAAAATGGATTTGAATGGAGTTTTCTTCAAAATTTTAAAGGGTTACTGTTCTAGGAAAAGCACTTAAGAAATTCCAGAAAAGTAAACAGGTAGGCAGTAACTTTTTAGTTATCTTAGTTAATTCAAGTGTTAGTGAAATGAATCTGGTTAACATTGTGGCAATTGGCTTTCAGTGTGGCTAGGGTAAAAATGAGGCATGGTGGCCTGACCTGTRTCCAAGTGTCAAAGTGGAATAATGGTTCAAGCCTCTGCCGTCATGGACTACAAAAGCATCGACAGCCTGCCCCTATCTGTAATTCAGGTAACCCTCTTAGAAGTAAATCAGAGGTATGTTCAAGGCTTTAAGAAAACTTCTGATGCTGTGGGAAATAATTCTCTTGATTCAGGGTTATTGTCTTCACACTTAATAATTTAAATTTTGAGGAGAGGGTTTTGAGAAGTGACATGAATGACGATGCAAAGGATAAAAATGGAAACCAGAAACTTCTTTATGGAAAACAGTACTACTTATTTAAAATTACAAAAAGCAAAGCATTTTCTTAGTGGACGTGTTAACAGGAGAGTACACTGAAAACCATGTTAAATACAAAACAAAAACAATTCGGAAACATCACTCCTTTTCCATTTTAGTATTAATAGGACTGACATGTAATAATTATCCTTAAGTGCTCAAGGAAGAGAGGTTTAGAGTATGCCCACCAAAGGGGCTCAAGGATATTGAATTTTTCTTTCTTTCTTTCTCTCTTCTTCTTTTTTTAAATCTCAAGTTCCTTTAAGTTAGAGTGACACATTCAGTGGGAACCCCCATCAGCAGAGGTTTTCTTATATATGACCTTCTTAAACTCTTACCTGCTGAGTGGCATAGGAAGGACTGTTTATGTAATAGATTTATTCATATTGGGCTGGGAAAACTTACACTTGTTTGAACTGCTTTCTGGGAAGAGAGAAAAGAAGGGGGAGGGAAGCCCCTGTCGGCTAGAAGCTAAATGAACAAGAACAAAAACATATTTTAGTGTCTCAGGATGTTCTATATTCCAACTACTAGTGCATTAAAAAATATATATATAACATATTCTAAAAAAAATTCATCTTGTAGTCAAGTTGGGTTACTTGCAGATGAAAAACTGGGATAAATGTGAAGAACATGGTCTTGGGACAGAACAGGCAGCAGAGAAGAGACAGTTCAGAAATGAGGGCAAAAACCTGCACTAGTTTCCTTGCTGGGCTTGCATCTGGAGTCACTATGCCTTTTTCACCTTCTGATTGGTTGGATTCCAATTAAATGGTGGTGCCTATCTTAACCCCTGAATCAAGCACTGGAAGACCTTTGAGATGGACCTTTGAAAAAGTTTTTAAGGGAACTGTAATGCGGGCTGTACTGACCTGCAGAAGATGGTGCGACTGGATCTGAAAGGTGGATACTGGTGCCTCCGGACAACTGCCAAAGCAAGAATATGACCATGAAGCAAAGAGAAGCATATCATACAGGGAAAGCTAAGACTTGGACGGGAACTGTTTCCTGCTGCTGTAAGGTAAGCCAGATTCTTTCTTCTAAAAAAGGTTGTCTCCCTTAAATACAACCAATGCTATACATTTTTTTTTTTTAGATTCAACTTTTATGTTTTTTGTTTGCTTGGGTATTTTTCATGATATTAGAAATTTAATATTAAATTTTGATACACTTAATTTTTAAGTTGTTAATTTTGATAAAAATAATTTTATGTTACAGAAATGTAACACTTTGAGAAAACTCAACAAAGTGCCTTCCTATTAAACTATTTAGTTTCCAATAGTGAGGAGTCACATTTATATAATTCAACTAGAACTTAGTTGTTTTCCTCAATTTTCACATAATATCTGATTTCTTAGTCTTAGGAATACATTTTTCTGAAAGAACATAATTCCTAACTTTGTTAAGCCTGAGAAGCTAAAAAATATTCACAGTCTTACTATCTATGAACTATTAAAATAGAAAATATTTTCTTAAAGGTACAATCAGGAGTTGAAGCTGATTACAACAGTTGAAGTAGAATCGAYATTCTAGTCTAAGGTCAGGAAATATTTCAGCTCTTTATATGTTTTTTACCATTTTTAAATAAACGTTGCTCTTTTCATTACTGTATTTTAAACTTAATGTTTATGAAACTGTGCCTTTAAACTATTTACAGCAAAGCAGCCTGCATTTTCCTGTTGAATGGATAATTATACTAATGGAGTAATTTAGAATTTTTTTTTTTTTTTTTTTTAAGATTTCAGGCGGCAGCTTTAAATTTTAAAGGGACAGTGTTGCTGTGGGATTCTGGTCTGGGAAGTTGATCTCACCACACCTCTCTTGGGTTCCAGGGCATACTCACTTCCGTACACTGAGCTACTGGGAGAACTGCACAGTCAGCCACTGCTGAAACAGGAGGTGGTGTTCATTCTGAAAATGATCCATGCTGTAATGTCATGAACCAGGAAGCTGGAATCCTTTACCAGCTCTTTATGCAAATATTTGGCTACAGCTTGAGCTGGAGGACTTGGAAGGAGTGGGTTTTAAAAAATCTGTTTCATTGTAGAGCTCTCTTTAACCCCATTTCTCCCCTGGATTGGCCTGTTTGCCTGCTCCCTGTTATCCTGTTGTTATCTCCCCGAGGTATGTTTACAATATCCTACTTGATATTATCTTTCTAGTCATGGGTTCACTTTCTACTTTGTCCAAACAATAAAAAGAAAAGCACCTTTCTCTTAGGTTTCAAACAGCACAAAACCTACAATCTCTACTTTATAAAAACACATCAAGGCTGTTAAAAAACAAACTAATGATTAAAAAAAGGTAAATTATATATTTTGATAAGTACTATCTCTTTACCCTGAAGACAAAAGAAATGTGTCAGTGTATGAGAGAGAGGGGGGGAGGAGAGAGGGAGAGAGAGAGGCGGGGGCAGAGAGAGAGAGAGAGAGAGAGAGAGAGAGAGAGAGAGAGAGAGAGAGAGTATTTGCAAATTGATCTGGTTGACAGTGTTTTTAAGTTAAATTATCAGTCTGGCATGCACATAGTTTCTCTGGCACTGCTTGAGATCTGATATTTCTCTCAAACTATAACTTCATGTTTTCATGCTTAAATTTTTAACTGTGGAAACTACTCTGACTTTACAAAAAATTAAGATAAATTTCTTCCTGTTTTGTAATAYTTGATACTATTAATTCTCTCTTTGGCTTAAAGTTTCCCAGAGGTGTCCTTTAACAATTGAACAATTGAAGATAATCTCCATTAAGCTAGAAAGGCCTACCTACACCAAAGAGCAGGCATAAATTACCCTTGGGTATTTGCCATCCTTGCCTACTGAATATACTTTTGCAGCATTCCTAGAATCTCAGATCCATCTGATGGCTCCCAGTGAGGGATTTTATATCTGGCTCACCTTCTGAAATTATGTGTGTTACTTATATGTGCTTGTGAAGGAATAGGCTGACAAAATCTTCCAGGAAGCAAAGTAGTATTTTTCCTGCAAGGTGCTGGGTCAGGAGTCCTGCTTTATTTCTCCCCAGGAGTGTGTGTGTGTGTGTGTGTGTGTGTGTGTGTGTGTGTGTGTGTTTATGTTGGGGGTGCGGATTCAGAAAAAGTAAGTCTTAACTGCTCCAGGGAAACTGATTAGATACACAAATGAAATGCTTTCCACTTGCTTTACCTTCTGTAGCTTGCTAACAAGGGAACAGTGGTTAAACCAGTCTGTAAGGACCCTATAGCAATAAAGTTGCTTTGCCCAAATGGGATTTCTGCAGGTGCAGTTGAGGCAGAATTCTAGGAAGTATCAAAGCTCATTAGTGAAAGATATTGTTTTGTACTGAACATCTTGACTGGGACAGTGGGGAGGGGGAGGGTGTTTCAGACCTAATTTTATTAATTATATATAACCATCTCTGAACTGAAAGGATCAAAGTTAYCAAACTCCTGCTTAGTATGGATGGGTTTTCTGAAAGAGAACTTAGAGAGTCAATAGGTGGGAAGGTTTTTTAATGCTAAATATAATACTAAATATAAAACAACCTTGGTCCTATCTTTTGCTCAACCAATAGCAACTGAAAGACTGTGAACTTTAGCTATAATAGAGGAATGCAGATTTCTGATCTACTTATCCCCTCTGGTTATTATATAAACTAAATGAGACAATGAGTGTGCAAAAGTACTTTTAATGAAGAACCACTGTGAAGCCTTGTATAAATGTAATGAATTTTTAGTGACCWGAAATCCTGCAGGCAGAGATATTAACTTCTCTAGCTGTATTACAAATTCACAGCAAACTCACACCTGACTTCTAAACTCTGAACAGAGGGTTAGATTAAGATTATTGAATAGCTGACTTTCAATCCCTGGTTGTAATTTTATTTAARTTTCTTTTCCCAGATAATATTTATTGGCACTCACTGTATGGAAACCACTCTTCCAAGCACTTTATATGCAATAGCTCATTGAATCCTTACAAAATCCTGTTATCCCCAATTTAAAAGATAAKGGGAAACAGGCAAGAAAGATGGAGTAATTTGCTGGAAGATACAGACCATGGAGGAGCTGAGATCTGAACTCAGGCCATCTGGCTCTGAACCTGTCTCACTACTCCTACATACTTTGTCTCCTCCCATTTCAGGAGATTCATTGCCAAAAGCCCATTTCGTGAAGTTGGACATTGAACATAAACAGCACCAGGCACAAAAACCGTTATAGGGCATATGCCCACAGGTTGGATAAGGACCAATCCTAATAGAGGCAATAYGAGCCCCAGCTGCCTGATCCTCCACACCCAAACCAGCCCACAAGCAATGTACTGTCTATGGAGGCTTTCAGTAAGAGCTCTCCTCCTGGGGGATGACTTCCACTCATTTTTGTTGGGTTCTGCTGCTGCCCTAAGCAATCCTTTGTGCTTTAGAAAGGAATACAGTATGTCAGGGTACCTTATGATTGCCCAGACCAATTCTGTAATAACCTGGACCTTCATACATCTTAAGGAAGCAGTTCTATGTATACTCCAGAGATATGGCTCTCTTGTGTTGGGAACTTCAGTGACTAGTGATTTACAGACAAATGACCYCAGAAGCTGAGTTCCAGAAGAATAAGGAGGGTGGGAAAGATGGTTCCCAGATAAGTTAACCTGGAAGGGCTCCCCTATATGAGGTGAATTTCTAGGAGAGATTTTCCATGGGTATGTGAGGGCTGGACTTACACTGTCTTCCTAAAACAGCAACAATCTACTTACCTGGCTGACTCTTTTCCTGAAGAGAACCAACAAGCCTTTTATACCCAACTTTGACCAGTGACAGATGAACTCCCCCAAATCCTGATCCCCACAACATGCCCCACCTGTTCTTTGTGGCTTCCTGGGGTGAACTGGGATGAAGTTGGGCATAGACATTGTAAGAACATCTGAGGAAGGCAGGGTCTGGGGGTGGCCTCCACACCTTCCTAATATTGGGCTGAATGAGGTCTATTATGGGCTGGGGAGGGAATGAGGGGTTCATGCTTACGGTTCCCCCTGAGGCTGCCTGGTGTGCCCTCCTTTGCTGCAACAGCTCCTTCACTGTGATCTTCACCCGGACACCTTGATACACCTTCGGTTTTTCTGRGAAAAGGCAACTGAGTTAGTGGTCAAGTCCAAGGTCTGGTATCAGGCTGCATAGTGATGACCCCCTTTAGAGGCTGTGTCCACCAAGGCCAAGTTTCTAGGTTTGGACAACACAACGAGAATGCTAAAAGATAGTTTAAGGTAGCCAGAAATTTCAAAGGATTAAGAGAGGCTGAGCAATTTCTAGGGCTCCAGTGGGAACAGAACACATGGAAATTTGTGGGGTCATCCACCCCAGGCTGGGCCCATCCTAGAACAATAGCATACAGGTGTCTCTGCTCAGGAATATGGAGGCCAATACAGGGTCGACCACCACCTTGGCTAAGGTGGGAGACCCTGGGGTTCTGGGTCCAGCCTGCTGGGAGAAGGTATTATGGATCTGATTTATAGCAGCTGACAGCCCACTTCACCGTGATGTTCCCACTGGTGTTAAGTCTCTTCTATTTCCCCCAGTCCAGGCCTGACTTCTGGGGAGGCTACGACCTCTACGTGCCCTTAGCCTGGAAGCCAGCCCCAGCCCTGGGACGAAGTTTGGTTTGGTCAGCCCTAACCTGGGCGGGTGGGACCAGAGAGAGAACCTAGTAAAGAGTCTSGGTCCACTCCCTCCCTCCTCTCCGTCTTCTGCCATCTCTCTTTCGCCCTTTTTCTCCGCCTTTCCCGCTCTTCACATTTTCCTCCTCCCTCCTTAGGCCCTGCTCTAACTCTCCCCTTCTTCCCCTCTCTCCCCACCCCCTCCCTGTCTGGTGCAGGCATTTCCCAGCGGCGCACGGAGCCTGGGGRAGAGTCCGCGCAGCGCGAGCTCTGGGAAAAGCCGTCCGGAGGCTTCCGAGGACCGCGCAATCGTTAGGAGGAAGCCTTTCGGGAGGAGCCACCCCTGAGCTAGCTGGGCCAGGCGGATTGCCCCGGCTAGTCGAAATGGCCAGGTGCGCGCCGCAGAGGTCTGCCGGAGGGACCCCAGCGCCGTGTAGGAAAGGCCACGGCCCTGCAGAGCTGCAGTGAGTAGGCCGGGCAGGCTGTAAGGCCAAGCCGGGCCGGGCGAGCTTTAGAGGTGGGATCGGCTTAGGAGCCCTGTAGGACTCCTGCCCTGACCTCGACCCTGGAGTGAGTGCCTRGGAATAGCGCGGGGTGGGGCCGGGAGCGGCGGCTGGGGGCGGCCGTGCGTTTAGCCTGGGCATCTGGTGACAGTGCTAGACCGCCAGCGCCTCGCCTGGTCAYTGCAGGGACCGCAGCCGGATAGCAGGGAACCCCTCACCCCAGACCAGAGATAGGGTCTCCCCAGGAAAGGGGTCGCGCTCTTCTTCTCCTAGACCCAGGGAATCTTGCTCTTGGCCCGCAGAGCCCAGGCGCCGCKCCCTCTCCGTATTCAGTCTCCTTTCCTCCCGCTCCCACTTCCTCGCTCGGTTCGGGACTCCGTGGGCAGTAGACGCGTCTTGGGGTCGACACAGAGACCGCCACAGCCCAGTTTTGTGCTACCGATGCGCTCTGCTCGCGTCASGGGCTCACGGTGAATCTCTAGCTCCCCCGCGCCGCCGTTTCTGGGCGCGCAAGGTCCGCGCCGCGAAGTCCCAGGACAAGACGGTGGAAAAATGGGAGGGAGGGCAGGGGTCCTGGGGGCACTCCAATGTCCGGAGCAGCCAACTTGAGTTCTGGGCCTCTGCTCTGGGGAGCAGGCACCAAGTGGGAGCGGCCACAGCTTGGCCCGCGCCCTCTCCGGATCCTGCCCGGCCCTTACTGGCRTGCTCTGACTTTGTGCCTCTCTGTTGTATGCAGGAAAAGCTGTGGAAATACACCCTGATCGAAATGCCCCTGGCCCGCATGATCCGACCCCCAAAGAAGCAGCCGAATTACCGGACATCGTGGTCAGCAGGAACTGGGACGCAGGCTGGATGCTGCAGCTGCAGGAACTCTGCGCCTAGGAGGGCTCCTGTGCAGGGAGAAAGGCAGAGATGCGACATTTTTAAAGTTTCACAAAGCATCTGGCTGCACCCAGGTCCCTGGAGCAGGAGACACACAGAATTAATGTTTTATACCTTCGGGTATAGGTTTGAGTTTTTCCCCCCTCATGCCAAGTATTTAAAACCTCTAGAAACCCATGATTTGACAATCAATGATTGCGCGATACTTTCAATTTGAATATTCAAAGGCTTAACAAAATGGACTATCTTCTGCAGAAATCCTGCAGACAGGCACCCCATAGGGAGTCCAGAGAAACAGGGAGTGAGACCCCTTTAGGTCCTGACCCTTGCTTTTATTGTATTTTGAGCATTTTGCCCACCTTCCCACAGACAGAGCAGGTGTCCTCAAAGATGCTCTGTATTTCTGCCTCAAAATTAACTCAGAAGCCCAAAGTGACTTAGATTGACCCTCATGACCACCTGAGCCAGGTTGGCTGGCCAGACTGATTCCCACATGCCCAMTCTCCATTTAAGGGGAAATCTCACGTTTTGGTGACTGAACATGGCAACCCGTGGGTGTGGCCCAGCAAGGGGTCACTGTGGGCTCAGATTGCAGGCCAGAGGACAGCAGAGGCCTTCCCTCTGCACTTTGTGTCTTTCTGGCTTCACCTGGCCACATGTGGGCTTCCCTTCCCTTTTCATTCTGCTGCCTTACTTGGTCCCRAACACTGAGGTTTCAGCACTGAATTCCTGCCCATTAAGACCTTTTGATCCATTGCATGTATCTGGGGATGCACATGGGCATCACCCATGAACAGTTTTCTAAGGCTGGTATTTCATCACTGCACTGTGAGGTCCCTCCTTCTGCTCTTGTCTTTCTCCCTCTAGAGCTACTCCTGCCTTCTAGCTGTAGAAGCACCTGTGAGAAAATGGTGACAAGCTGGGTGCCTGCTCATTTTTGCTGAAAGGACATGGATTTGTTTTTCAAAACTTACTTTGGGGTGAGAGGTGGAAGGGATTTGAGGTCAGGCTGCACCCTTGAGCTAGGCCGAGCCCCTCACAAATGACTTGAGGCTGTGCTAGCTAGCTCATCTTCTCCAAGCACTGGCTGTGCCCCTTCCCTGTGATTTGGAAGATGGAAGAGAGACAGGACTATGCCAGAGAGGGAGCAAATCCTCTGTAGCAACACTAGGAGACAGGGATTCCTTTGCAAATAACCAGGATAATTCCCAGGATATCAGACCAGGTGATTGTTAAAGCCCTCTGTTCTTTAATCATTCATGAGTTCTCTAGGGTGAGGGATTATAATTAGCCCCAAAGGCCTTCAGAAAAATATCTGAATGTGCCCAAATGTATCAGAACAAGGGCATCATATAGAACTCAAGGAAGGGGCATCTCTGAAAATGATAAGTGTGCGACTATGATGAGTGTGAATTGCTTGACAGCTGGAGCCATATGGCTGGGGGAAAGGATCAGGAATGGGGATTCCTGAGGTGGCTCCTGGCAGTAGAAGGCAGGATGGAGGTGTTTGTCCCAAATCCATTTGGGATATATCAGCGTTTGGAGCTTATTTCTCCAAAGGCCCTGGGCCTGTGTCCTGATAGAAGCTAGGCTTGAAGACCAGATGTGAGGAAGGAAAGGGCAGGGGGAATTGAGAAAGTCCCTRTCTCTGCATTGTCCTGTCATCTGCCATGCCAGGGCACTGCTTGGAATTAGGGATGGTCTCTTGTCCTCATAGCTTCTTCCATTACTTTTATCTTCTGTTTATTTTTTGGTTTGCTTTTTAAACACCCCCCCCCACACACACACCATTTTCCTTCGTCTCTCTTTCTATTACTGCTTTCCTCAGTTTCTTGCCTGTATTGCTGTTTTTCTCTTTGGTTCCCTATGCTACCTCTATTTCCCCATGTTCTGGGGTGCTGTTCCATATTTTCATGCTTGATCTCCTTCCTAACCTTTTCTTTACACGTGGAGATGGACAGAGATGGCAGGAGGCCATTCTGGTCCCTTGGCAACATCATGGAGGTTCATGCTAATGATAGGCTACTCATTAGAGAAGACATGTGAGACTTGAGGGGGGGGTATTCCTTGGAAATCATGGGRTCTTTAGGGACAGAAAAGAACCTGTGTCCCTTCTTCCAGAAGCCTCTGCCTGAGCCATGGCAGCAGTTCTGGGGCTTCTGTGTTGGCTCCTGTTGCTGGGATGAACATCAAGTTGCTGGTCAATAACTTCAGAAAATTAAATTTCCCCATGCCTGACCCCTGTTTGAGGAAGAACCCCTTCCCTTCCCCCACACTCCATTCTGGTTGTTAGCCCAATAGTAAGGAGTTTTGGTTTCTGATGTTTCTGTAACTGCAAAATCCCAGCACAGGTATTTAAGAGTCAAACTCCATGCTTGTGCAGGTAGGGAACAATCTTTTCTAAATAGATCCTGGACTCCTCCTTATAAATCTGCATGTATGCTGACACCTGAGCRACCAACTGCTTCTACCCCAAGAACCCCAGAAACCCATAAAAATGTCCTCACAGATTTTTGGGGGGATACTAGGGATTGAACTCAGGGGCACTAGACCACTGAGCCACATCCACAGCCCTATTTTGTATTTTATTTAGAGACAGGGTCTCACTGAGTTGCTTAGCACCTCGCTTTTGCTGAGGCTGGCTTTGAACTCGTGGTCCTCCTGCCTCAGCCTCTCGTGCCACTGGGATTACCAGTGTGCACCACTGCGCCTGGCCTCATAGACTCTTTAAAGTTCTCAWCTGTTGTTCATTGATGTCAGGCACTGTGTTGTATGGTTCCTCCATTTTATAGACAAGGAAGCAGGCTTTCCAAGAGGATTGAGCACATCARTGGTGGAATTGGGATTCATATTTTGATAAGTCTAACCCAGGGCCCTTGGTGTTAACTACAATTGTTGTCTTTCTTATCTTTTATAACAGAAGCTCTTAAATTTTCTGGACTTTAGCCCACAAGAAATTCACACATATCTGCAACAATATCTACATTTATAAAACAAACTATCCTTGAATCAATGTATATTTATGCATGTGAAGCACTCTGATATTTTCTATCATATTCTAGCTTTTTCATTTCATTCTGTTTATGAGAAATAGATGTTGATTGGGAGTTACTAAGGTAATTTAATGTTACCCTCTCATGAGTTGTAAGTAGCATTGGAGAAGTGGCACTCTTAAGATATGCACACACATCTCTGTGTTGTGCTCATGGGAGTGTTTTGGTGTGTAGTTTATTTGTGCAAGGAGTCAAAGATGGTGCAGCATACTGACTTGAGAGTATTCTGGAAATGCTGGAACCCTGAAGAAGAGACTGGCTGGAGATGAGGATGAGCTGTTAATTATGCTTCTTAACCATCTGTGCTTCTCAGTCTGGAACCCTCTTGCTGGAAGCCCTGTCACTTCTAGGGTGTCTGCCCTGAAGTCCTGATAATCCCTTTGGGGTTTTGATTAAAAACAATAAAAACTGAAAAACTGTGGGTTTTAATCCACTATACCAGGCTCTTTGGCTTGAAAATATAACATTGGACTCAATATTTGGTGTTAGGAAGACTCTTTGAAGTAGGAGGGACTTAGAGTCTTTYCCCAGTATCTCTGCTGATAGCTATTTAGCCTCTGGCTTCATTGCTTGGCCGAGAGCCTGGYTCATAACAGAATCTGTATAGAGGAAATGAGAGCTCATTATTTATAAGGCAACCCGTTCCAAGATTGGACTTGGAACAGTCTAAGTCCAACATGGTGATCAGTGATTGAGCCATAATTCAATTAGGTTTTAATTGAGCAGCACTATGTACCAGGCATGGTATCAAACACCAGGAATACAAAGAAATAAGTCCTGGTTTTTGCTATCAATGGCYCTGTTCTCTCACTTCCACATGAGTGCTTTTCTATTACAAGTTTGTTTAGTTCATTCATTCATTGAACAACCATGTGTTGATTATCTGTTCTGCCCCTGTCTAATGCTCGTATGAGGAAGTTATCATGCCTACTCTCTACCCAAGCTTTCTGTTCTTGAGGCCTCCACCTGCAGTTTCTCTGGTTCTTCATAAATCTGTTTTTCAGGTCTCTGGTTGACCTTTTCACTGAGCTCAGAAACCCTTCAGTTTGTCATTGACCATCTTAAAGTCAGTCAGCGGTACCAAAATCAATAGAAYAGATTTGCTTTTGAAGTTTTAAACTGAATATTTTAACTGAAAAAACCTTTGGTAGTCATTAGTATGCAAATGAAACTACAGAGCATTATGTTTTTCTCCCAAATTAGGAGGTTTTATAATATTTAGGTACCGACATATTCAAAGACTTTCAGTATATGGAAAAGGGATAGTTTATTCCCTCCATATTTGACTACAGCTCTAAATTTTCCTTATTAATGCAAAGTTCCTTTGTCACCTTGAGTTTGGACACTGTTACCATATTTCTTGTGGGAAATATCAAGTTCCAAAAATTGAATACATGGAGGAAACAGGTAAGTATTAAGTCCTAGAATGAACATTTGACCCATATRAAAATGACCAGGAAGTCTATTAGGTGAAAGCTATTCAATGGTTTGTCAATTTCTTCCCATAAGACACACTTGAAGTTTTAATTTTTTTCCTTTCAAAGTTTCCATGAGGAACAAGAACCTGATAATTTATCCATTAAAAATGACATCATATTATACACTTCTTAAAAAATTCATCTTTTACTTACAACATTTTTATTACACGATATTTGAGAAATACAAAAATACATCAAGAAGATTGTGATGAACCCAACTTCTATGTATAACCATAAAACTATATTTTAAAAAGAATACTGTGATGAAAATCTATGAGTGGTTAAGAAATAAATGGTTGGATGTTCTTTTATTTYTGACTAAATTGATTATTAAGCATTGAAACTTGGGTTTTTCCACTCAAGATACTTT